ACACAAAAACTGAGGTCGTGGGGGGAGAGGCAGGCCTTTTGTTTTGGGTGGAGGTGTTTTCTCAGGTGGGGAGGAGCCGAGGTCTCTCGAGGTGCTGTCCTGAAAGACGGAGAAGGGAAAAAATTATGAAAAGCATATACAGAAAGTGCAGCGCTTATATCCAAAGCATATGAGAAACACAATTATTCCTGTATAAACTTATATAGGAAGTAATTATACAAAAATATATATAAGATTAACTTAAATCATTAATAAAGTCCAAAAAGTGCAGTGTCCAACGGTGTTGTAGAAATCAATCATGACCAGTGACATAAGATGACATCTGTGAAGAGTGCATCTGTGACAATCCTCCACCACTATGCACTCACCAGAAGTGAGATGCAACAAGGCTCTGTACAGAAATCCCTCCGAAAGATGTAAACTTTCCACTGCAGGGATAGATACAGGTACTCTCATCAGAAAAGAGGACTTTGGACCATTGAGCAACAGACCAATAACCTTTTGAGGCTTTCCCTCCTTATGGAGGGTGTCAATGATGGTTTTCTGCACAACTGTCAGGGCAGCAGTCTTTCCCATGATTGTGATTCCTACTGAACCAGATTGAGAGACCATTTAAAGGCTCAGGAACCCTTTTAGGTGTTATGGCTTAATTAGCTGGTTAGAGTGGGACACTTTGAGCCGAGAATATTGCACCTTTTCACAATATTCTAATTTTCTGAGATTGTGGATTTGGGGTTTTCATGAGCTGTAAGCCATAATCATCACAATTATGACAAATCACGGCTTGAACTATCTTGCTTTGCATGTAATGAGTCTATCTCATATATTAGTTTCACCTTTTAAGTTGCATTTCTGAAATAAATGAACTTTTGCACGATATTCTAATTTTTCAAGTTTCACCTGTATATGGCCAAATATCCAGTGCGGCTGGGCTCTATATAGGGATCCCTCTAAGGCAGATGAATCATCTCCAGTGCATGGATAAGCAATCAATCCGGAGACAGTGAATCCTAGATAAAAGAGCTCAGAAACCAGAGCCCAGAGATGGTGGCATATAGTGTAATATTTTACTGCATAAAAATATTAGCATCCACGTGGAGCACATAAAAGCAATACCGCTTCACTTAAACATGGCTGATGAACCATTGTATGGACTTGGCGGTGTGACATCTGCACGTAGGCCTCTCTGACGCATTTCGTGCACACACGTTCTCAAAGACAGGTCCCTTTGAACAGGGTTTTTTTTTCTGTGGGGCCGCTAATTTGGGTACCGGTCTTTCTCACAGCAAAAAGATCGGGGTATCACTGAGAGCCCCGGGTCCCGTTCTAACAATCGGAACCCGAAACTCACAATTCCAGGTCACCTGATCACTGTGATCGCCTCTGATTGGCTGTCACAGCGATCAGGTACTGTGAAGCCCACCCCTCTTGTTTTCTCTCTCTGAATGGAGGAAAGAGATACAATGTATTTCTCTCTGTCCTTTCAAAGTGGGGCAGGCTTTATAGTGACTGATCACAGTGATCAGGTGACCTGGAATTGGGAGTGTGTGTAAAAAATAAATGAATAAATAAAAATATTTCAAAAATACCTAGATCATGTTTTGATCTAGATCTGGCCAGGTAGTGTTTTGGTCAAGGTTTTTTTTTTTAAATTAGTATCAGTGTCAGAAAAAAAAAAAAAAAAAAAAACACCATGACCTTTTACCTTGACCAAAACAGTAACCCTGGCACAGACCTAGATCAAAACTTGATCTAGGTAATTTTGTTTAATTTATTCATTTTTTTTTTTTTTTACAGAGGCCCCATACAGCGATCTGTATTCCGCTGTATCTCCCAGGCAATGGCTGCAGAGGGGACGTTTAGAAACCCCCCCTTCAGCAGCACTCCTATCTGGCTGTTTATTGGCATGCACTGGAAGGGGGTTAAAGACTACATATCCCATAGCACCTTGCATCCCCACTTTACAGACTCCAATCCCTGAAACTCCTCCATTCAGTACCTCTGTACTTCAAAACATGACACAGCAGTGCCTACTCACAGGGCATGGTGAATACTTGGCACAGAACTCAAAGAAGTAAATGTGTGGTATTCTGCAAAGTGTACAAACTTTAAAGATCATTCATATGAACAATAGGTTAGAAATAATAGAACTCCAATTTGAAAATGACGAACTGATTTTAATAATGATTTGACCAAGCTATTTTTGCTATACAGACCAAAGAAAAGACCAAAAATTTGGAGAAATTTTTTTTACTTTTTGCTATATATCATATACATATATAATGTTTTCATAAACTTAGGCCAAAATGTATTCTGCTACATGTCCTTGGTGAACAAAGCTCTGTGTGTTAACTGGTTTATGTGAAAGTTATAGCTTCTAAAAATGATGCTATACATTTTTTTTGTACCAGTAATGGTGGCGATTATCAGCAACTTCTTGCAGGAATGTGATAGTACAGCAGGTATTTGGACACTGACATCACCAGCGATCAGTGCTAATAAAATGCAGACACTGTACTAATGACCCTGGGCAGAAAGGGGTTAGAATCTGGGGCAATCAAAGGGTTAACTGTGTGCAATTTCACTAAGTGAAATAATGTGCTTTGCAGGGAGACAAAAACCAGCCCATCCCCGCAGTCAGGGGGATCAGTGTTGTTAAACAACCACTCTCTCTACTAACTGAGGGGATGTGACGGTTTTCTCTACTGTCACTTGCTCAGACAAGCAGGTCCCGGGCCATGAATCATTGGCTGTGACACATTGTTCAAAAGGCCAGAGACAGTGCAGGTAGGCAGGCATGATATGCAATTCTGTGCAGCTGGCCCACACTGTAGCAGTAAAGCTACAATGCAAGCACAGCAAATGGCTAAAGATCTTATGAAATGCACTGGAATGAATAAATAAATAAAAAAACAAAAAACACACAAAACAGGTAAGGATCTGCATTACAATTTATCAAACTTGCAGTTACTCGGTAAAGCCTGGTTTACACCTAGATGTCAACATTGTTCCCTATGGGACACGTTAACGTCTATTTTTTTAGCCACTGCATTTTTAGAAAGTCAGGGATTTTATTTATTTTTTTTTTTTTTTAATGCAAAACCAGTGCATTTTTGGTTCTGGTTCAATAGACTTCAATGGAGACAATGCAGAAAAGCACGTAGTGCGTTTTTGATGTGTTAAGTCAAAAATTGTCCAAAAAAAGTATAATAAGTTTTAGAGACATTTTCAGAGAGATCTTTAAAGGCTAGGTTTACACTACTGTGACAAGATCTTAATTTAAGTGTGACTTGGTTGCATTTTGGATTTGTTTTTCATATTCTATGGGGATGGAATGACACCAACGCTGCACCGGACCCTTTTCCTAAATCACACTGTGCTGCATTGATGTGAATAGGCACTATTGAAAACAGTGATTTCCACTGTCATGCATTACTGTGCAACTCAAGCCGCATCTGAAATCAAACTAGTGTGAACCTGGCCTAAAAACAAGGATTGTTACAGGAAATCAGAGACCACCAGTAACAGAAATCACAGGCAAATTTCAGTCCAAAAATACACATGCTATCAAAGGTCAGCTCCCTTGGAACTGCTACAGGTCATTTGGAGTGATGCACAGTAAAATCTCTCAGGCACAAGATGTGCAAACAGGAAATCAGAGCAACTAAAGTATAACTAAAGGCAAAGCATTTCTCTTCGTGTTGGACAGAATTTAGAGGGATTAGAACACCTGTCAGACATTTATTGCTGCCTGTGTCCCAATTCAGAAGATTCACCCTCTCTACTGTTGTCATTGAAAATGAAAAATCCCACATTTTGAGCTGTCCCCAGAACAGCAATCCTCTATTGAGGACACTAGTTCTGGTGACAGTCACAGATTCCTTCACTCTTCCCGTCTTGGCTATAGGGCAGGAAGTGGGGGAAGAATCTTTTCTATGGGACACAGGAAAAAAAAATTATATATATATATATTTTTTTTTTTTTATTTATTTGTCAGGAGTTTATAACTCTCCCTTGCCCTATCCAAAATGGCACAGGCACAGCAGGGGCTAGTCACAGTATTGACTTTTTTCTGCAAAAGGTTGTATGGCACCAGGTGGGGAGTCACACTATTAAGTTGAAGGACCTGGCTATGTGCCTTCCACTTAAGGGGTGGGAGAAAAGTTAATGGGATAACTTTAATAAAAAGGGAAGTTGTCCTTTAAAGTACAACACTGCTCAAGGAATAAATGCAGTACTATACCATTAAACATCAAAAATGTAATTGAACGTGTACTGAGAGAAACAGGGGCTACTACAAATGACCAGAATATGGGGTTTACTACTTGTCTGGATTTCATGTTTCTATAGTCACTTAGATAGGAAGAAGCATGCAACAGTTAAAGTCAGAGAAAAGTTAGAACTGCAAGTATATTAGGATTCAGTAGCATGAAAAGCACTGAAGCAATTTGAACAGCATAATATCTAGGCAAGCAGCATTTTACAAAGTCAAGGTCAGCAATCCCAGTCTACATATTCTCTCAATGCAAGTTAAAAAAACAAAAACAAAAAAAAAAAAACACCCACAAAAAAAACTCACTACTGAACACTGCAGATATTGTATTGCACACATGCAGCATGTCTGCATTTAAACAAAAAAATGATCATGTTGGCCCCTTGTGAAAAACAAAAGTTAACCTCTTGCCCTCCGCCCTATAGCAGAAGTACTGCTACAGGACTGCACAAAATCAAGTATATATACGTGATTTGCATTTCCAGGTAGGGGGTGGGTGCACAACCCTACCCCCACCACTATTGGTGGCTAGAGATGTCTATCACCGGGTCCCGGCCAGCACTCAGCGATCGTCAGGAAAAGTGGACATGAGAGACCTGTGTGTAAAATACAAGTCTCTCCTCTGTCAGCATGGACACGCTATTTTATATCTCTCTGCACAGCAGATACAAAACAGCATGTCTTCCTAGTAAAACACACACACAGCACAAAGTTAGCCTTTTGATCACCCCAGATGTTAACCCCTTCCTGCCCAGTGTCATTAGTACAGTTTCAATGCTTTTTATTAGCACTGATCACTCCATTAGTGTCACTGGGGATGTCAGCAGCAGTCAGTTCCCACCTAGTGTCAGAATGCCCGCTGCAGTCCTGCTAAAAGTCGCTGATCGCCACCAATGCTAGTATTAAAAAAAAAAAAAAAAAAAACACAGTATAATATATATATATATATATATATATATATATATATATATATATATATATACATACATATATATATATATATATACACACACACACACCGCCATTTGTAGATGCTAAAACTTTCACAAAAACTAATTTACACATATTGGGATTTTTTTTTTTTTTTTTTTTTTAGCAAAGATGTAGCAGAATACATTTTGGCCTAAATTTATAAAGAAATGTGATTTAAATTTTTTTTTTTATTGGATAGGTTTTATAGCAAAAAGTCAAAATATTGTTCCTCTTTTCAAAATTGCCAGTCTATTTTGTTTAGAGCACAAAAAATTTAAAAAACGCAAAGGTGATCAAATACCACTGAAAGAAAGCTCTATTTGTGGGAAAAAAAGGGGACACAAATTTTATTTATGTACAGCGTTGCATAACCACGCAATTGTCAAAGTAACAGCAACATATCGCAAAAAATGGCCTGGTCAGGAAGGGGGGTAAATTCTCTGGAGGGCAAGTTTACTCTCTGTAATACGTTCAGCCTTACATGACAACAGATGAAAATCAAATATAAAAAAACACAAAACAAAAATAAAAAAAAAAAAAAGTATTTTCCTGGACACTGGCATGCTGTATTTATTTACAGTACAATGCTGTGGCAAACTCACATCTTTCATAAAACACAAGGCCATGCTTTTAGAACAAGCCATAAGCTTTATTTAAGTGACCTGGGAATGTATAAATGTACAAGGTCAGGTTTTCATTTAAACATGCAGTCTGATCCCTCCAAGTAATGTGGACCCATTCAACATATTGGTCTAAAGAACATATTTATAGGCTAATGGTCATTTTCAAGATCTTCATAGCCATCTGGAAGAGGATTTACATGAGGGTTGTGGAATAGACTCTTTGTTCCATCTCCCCAGGGAAATTTCTGTAGAAAGACAATTGTGTTAGTAAAAAAAATAGTACATTTCATCTGTGTAATTCTATAGCGTTTAAATGAAACAAATATTTCAGATTTGTACATTTATAGACATTTCAATGCCAGTTCCACAATTCAATTTTCATTCCAACGAGTTCCATTTATTGATCATACATAGAGGCATAACACATTAAGGCTTTTAATCTCTGTTAAACTCATTATGCCATGTTCTCCAATGAAGGATAGCTGAAGGTACAGCATGAATGGACAGGCACCCATCTATGGATACATATAGTTGTATGGAAAACCTCAATATTTTAACAGTCACCATTATATATTAGCAGCAAGAGTACAAAGCAGAAGGGAACTTTATTGCTAGCTGGGTATGGGGGACTGTTGCCACAGAGTGTGCTCCTCCAGTGTTGGGAGGTCCACACCAGATATATAAAAATTTTCTAGAATCATCCTAAAGGAAAGCTTTTGCCAGAAGAGCTCCCCTTTAAAAATGTATGAATAATCTAAAACAATTCGCTGCCAAATTCAGAATTAAAGCCCAACGTCCCCTGCACTGCACAGGGGTAATGCTAGTTACATCTAGGAAGAATAAAAGACTGCATTTTCTTATCTCACCCCTAGTCCAGCATTATGGTTTCCCTCAAAGGGCCGGTTGTATCTGTAAGACTAGATGTCCAGAGCAACCCCCCCCCCCCCCCCATGACATCCAATATCAAGAAACCCACACCCTCCCTAACATGATGTGCACCCCAGAGCTGGAGTGCAGGGTCTGGAGGAGGACCAGAGGAGTGGAGTTCGTTGTCAGAGTCTGCTGAATGCTGAGACCAGGGGAGGCAGAGATGAGGGGGTGCTGCAGCTGCACTGAGAGGTGCAGGATTTGGCAGAGGAGTTCCATTCTCCTATCTGCTGCTGACTGCTGAGACAAGGTGGGGGCAGAACAAGGAGGAAACAAGGAGGTACCTGCAGGAGAGGTGCAAGGGCCACATGAAATGGCCTGGAGGGACGGATTTGGTCTGCGGGCCTTGTGTTTGACACCTGTGCCCTACTCCAACACCATCCTAATCTCCCTCCGGCACTCTGGATGGTTCTTAAAGCAGAGCTCCACCCAAAAGGGGAAGTTCCGCTTGAAGGACTGCTCCACATTAAGGATTGGCATCTTTGAGGAGCGGGTACCCAAATTTGACAGGTACCCGCTCCCACTTCTGGTGCGATCGCCTAGGTGATCAGAAACGGAAGGTGTCCTCCCTTCCTGTAGTCTTTTGGGACATGTGACAGGTCCCAGAAGAATACAGGACCATTCACGAAGCGCAGCGCTTCTCGCACATGCACAGTGGGTACCCGGCTGTGAAGTCGCAAGCTATCACAGCCGGGTGCCCACACTGAAGATGCTGGCCTCCTGGAATACAGGACGGCCGTGTGAAACAGGCTGCAGGGGACACACCACGGGACAGGTAAGTGGCTGTTTTTTAAAAGTCAGCAGCTACAGTTTTTGTAGCTGCTGACTCATTTTTTTTGATAGGTCGAGTGGAACTCCGCTTTAAGCATCATTGTGCACAATGCAGGGCTTTTAACCCTGCATTGTATGTAGTGTGACTGCAGATGGGAGGCGCTGCTGGAGCAAGGAATAAGGTAGGTATTGCACCTTATTCCTCTACCCCTAGGCAACAATTAACATTTATCCCTTGAAGTATTGGGCCCACTGCAAGAGTAGTTTTCTGCTTGGGCCTGGAGTTAGGCTTTAACCAAGACCATGGCAAATATGTTTTGGCCTTCCCAGTTGAAAACAGGTTGCAGTGACTCTTCCATATTCCCTTCCACAATGATGCTAGACATGCTCCTCCACTGCCCAATCCCAAGCCTCTTCTCCGATTAAAAAATTGGCTACATACCTTTTATTGCTGCCAATCACACTATAGTCAGAGCCTGGAAGAAACCCTCAGTCTGGTTTGCAGAAGTGAAGAGCAATCTGACTACCCTATTGATTCATGAGAAGATGACCAGCATCCTTCCCAACCCTCACTCCAAATTCCTCAGCGTGGACTCCATGGTGGTCATATACTTTCCCAACCCTGCACCTGACTAACCTGGGCACTCCTTACTCCCACAACACGTTACCTAGCCCGCTGGAAACACTCCTATTTCTAATCTTGCGTTGCACCTCATCTTTTTCCTTCTCAACCCATTCTCTTCTCTTGTCCCCCCCCCCCCCTTTTTTTCTTTTTTTTTCCCTCCCCACCCACACTTGGACTAGGGTCCCTCTGCCTCCAGTGAATGGGAACCCCAATTCCCTTCCCCTACACCCAGCCCTGGATCCTAATGCCTAGACTTTTATGGTTGCCTCCGACACCGTTTGCCAGAAGTTGTTGGTTTAGGTCTTTGTACACTTGATCCTGACCTCTCCTTACTGCATTGTTATTTTTGTCGCCTGCATCGGACTTCTGTTTTGCATGCATATTCTGTTGTGTTTTTTGTATTACTTCAATAAAAAATACTGTACCGGAAAACTGGTTGCAGCAGACAGTCTCATTATCCTGACCATTACATATGTACATATAACAGAAATCATTGAAAAGAACGATTTGAAAATACAAGCTAATTACACTGTTCAAACCCTACAGGGCCACTTTTAGGTGTGTATCTATGTTTTTATTTTTTTATTTATTAATTACAGCGACTTATAGCGCAATCAATTTACACAGTGCTTTACACATATACATACATATATTGTACATTCACATCATTCCCCCCTCACACAAGAGCCACACAACTTCCACTCGTAATTGGATTCATTTGGGAAACATGCGAGTAGATCCCGTGGGATCTATGTATACATGAAGGTCACAATTTGCATGGACTTTTTACATTTCTTCTGTGTTTACTCTGAGTGCTCCAGTTTTCCTCCAAAAACATACCAGATAATTACCTGACTTTCATCTAATCTCCCTACAACGTATGTGGACAGCTAATTGGTACAACCAAGTTCCTTTTGGTGGCAGAGATTGACCAACGCTGTACTTTTTTTTGAAGTGCTGCCGTTTTCACCTCTATAAACAAGAAGTTATTTCAGGGGCCCTGTCCCTACCACTATTTAATGATGCCTCATGATTTCACAAGGCTAAGCATTATGTTTGGAAAATAAAGCAGGCCATAGACGGGTCAAAAACCGCCTGTTAAACAAAAAAAAAAAATCAGTCGTTCAATAGGCCGACGTTACCACCAACGGTATTAAAAAAAAAAAAAACCGGTCGATTTTCGTCCCATCTACGTCCAGCATTTAATTACTTCTGTCCCTGCAGAGAGTTCCGCTATTATATTTGACATGAAAAAGTATTGCAGTTGCAACAATGTATCTATTTGTATCCATTTCAGATACAGATGGTTTTATTCGGATACAAATAGATACGTTGTTGCAACCACAATACTTTTTCATGTCAAATATAATAGCGGACTGGAATTCTTCTTTTCTTTCTTCTTGCAGGTCACGGCTCATGCGCAGATTTTTTATCGGTAAAAAGATCGGTTAATTTGCTCATCATTGCCGATTTTTTTCCAACTTCACCGATAATGTGCCAAAATCCCAAAAAACAGCCGACCAATTAACCCACTAATGGTGCGAAAACGGGGGATTTTTTTTTTTTGGCCAAAAAAAAAAATTTTTAAAAATCGGCCAATTTTTGACCCGTCTATGGCCTGCATAAATGTAGCTTATTTTAGAATTTCCACCGCTGCCATCAAGGAACTGCCTCAGGTCCCTTTCACAGGTTCAGTCCGATTGGGTCCGCCTGTGTTTTTCAGGTGCACCTGATTGGACCCTCCATTCTACTCTATGGGCAGTCAGATGAATTGGATCTGACTGCCCATAGAGGAGAATAATTATATTTACACTTGGTTACCTCTATTCCAGGAAGAAAAAAAACAACCCCCAAAAGAGGATCCATTCCCCTCCATCTCACCAGATCAGAGGGCAGTCAGGTGTAAACGGACAGCCGGTCTGTTTACATCCGACTACCCATAAAGTAGAGTGGGCTGTGTCCTTGTCTGCTCTGTATACCTGTTATCCTGCCACTCTGCTCAGCAAGGGTTCAGCGACAAATCCACTGCTGAACAAAACCGGATCAAGTGAAGAGGGCCTTAGAACTTTTAACATGAGGAATAACTCCCTGCTGTCAGAGTACAATCAGGGATGTTGGATTCCTATCGCCCGACGCCAAAGAAATTTAGTTCTGGGCGCCGGGCAGATAGTTTTTTTTCTACCTTTAGCTTTGTTGCTGACAAGCAGCGGGCTCACCTGTCAGGTGGAAGCATTCGGAGGCAGCGCTGCTGCCAATTGCTTCCACACAGTGCCAGCCTTCAATTTTCATGCCCAAATTTTTTAAACGTGTGCAAAAAAACGCAAAAACGGCTATGGCAGCGAAAGGGATAAAGTATAAGCCCTGACCCACCCTTTCCTGCCGAGACAGCCAATTGTTGTTTCATCACACTGCAAGGTCACCCCCCTCCCTGCTAGTCCCCGGGTGCAGTGACAGAGAGAGGCAGGGAGGGGAGGCCATAAAGCCTCTTTTGTTTTTAAAAGCGCAGGCATTCCTACAATCGCCTTCAATGTAAATACAGTTTTGGTTAAAAAAAATTTTTTTTTTTTTAATCTGGATAACTAGATTGTCATGAGGGCCCCGATTTAGTCCCTAGACAAGTAGTTTTTTAAAAAAATTTCCACACCCCTGACACTAATCAATGCTGCAGAGCGGATTAAGCGACTAAAATCTAACTGGGCGGCTGAACAGAAGTTAATCAGTAGATTGACTTCTTTTTAACCACAGTGGCCACACATGTAGAGTTCTGTCTGGTCCCTGCTGAACCAGCCAAATTTCAATCCATGTATGGCCAGCCTAAGAGAGAGGAAGTTCATATAATGGGTGACAGTGCACTTCAAGTCTTCTCTATGGGCAGCACAGTAGCTAAATGGTTAGCACTTTCCGCCTGGCAGCACTAGGGTCACTGGTTTGAATCCCAAGCACGACACCACCTGCCTGGAATTTGTATGTTCTCCCTGTGCATGTGTGGGTTTCCTCTGGGTACTCTGGTTTCCTCCCACACTCCAAAGACATGCTGCCAGGTTAACCACTTGCCTACTGGGCACTTTTACCCCCTTTCTTCCCAGGCCAATTTTCAGCTTTCAGCACTGTCGCACTTTGACATTTGTGCAGTCATGCAACACTGTATCCATATGAAATTTTTATCATTTTTTTCACACAAATAGAGCTTTCTTTTGGTGATATTTAATCACCAATGGGTGTTTTTTGCACTATAAATGAAAAAAGTGAAAACTTTTAAGAAAAAGGGTTTTGTTTCTATTATAAAATTTTACAAACAGGTAATTTTTCTCATACACTGATGTGCGTTGAAGAGATTGCACTGATAGGCAACACTGTTAGGCATTGATGAGGAGGCACTGATGATGCTGCAGGAGGTAGCACTGAAGGGCACTGGCTGGCAGCACTGATGGAGCTGCACTGATAATCAAGGCAGATGTCTGCTTTGACAGTTGTTGGTTAGCGGCAGTACTTTCCTCATGATGTCGATAACTTTACATAGTGGTCAGATGTGACTGGACACAGCTGGTCAAGTGGCAAAAGGCCGCTGTGATTGGCCTTTTACCAAGTCATATTTTCAGCTGTGTCCAACGGATACAGCGATCACAGACAGCGCTGGGTGCGCGCCGCTGGGGACGCATTCTGTGAGGGCATCATATGACGCCCTCCCAAAACTGGACTACCGCACTGTAGCCGTCTTTCAGCTATAGCGAGGTAGTAAAGTGGTTAATTGGATCCTGTCTAAATTGGCCCCAATATGTGTATGTATGAATGTGAGTTAGTGACCTTAGATTGCACACCCCTTGAGGACAGGGACGGATGTGAATGTACAATTTATATATAAAGCACTGTGTAAATTGATGGCGCTATATAAGTACCTGAAATAAATAAGAATTTTTCAATGATCACTGTATTCCTACCACTAGCAACATCAGATAGCGTCAGGGTAAGTTAGTGCTCCTCCCAGCCAGGGTCAGTTAGCGTTAGATTGCCCGCACACTATAGGTCTCTGATCACCCCCATTAGTATAGTGTTTGTACGGATCAATATAAAGATCATGCACAGAATTATACTAGTGCCCGCTTTGTATAGTGTCCCCAAAAATGCAGTGTTAGCAGGATCAGCCCCGTTTGCTGCCAGCACTAACGTTTAGCCCCTTTGCTGTTTTTCACAGAAGATCTGTACCAATTGATTGTGGGCCAAGGCAATTTGTATGCAGAACACATTGCCGCCCACCCAAATTCAGCTCTTGCCAGACAATTCGCATGGAAACCTATCACTGTTTCTGAATTTAAAACTTTTTTGGGCCTAACCCTCAACATGGGCATTTAAAAAAAAAAAAAAAAAAAAAAAAAGGAGTGAATTGTGATCATATTGGTCCACAGATCTGATTCATCATATGCCCACCATGTTCTCCGCTGTTACATATATGCCAAAAATGGACCAGCAATGTACTGGTACATCGCTGGGCTTTGAGTGGTTATACCAGGATGATGCCTGCAGCTACAGGCATAGTCCTGGTATCATTTTTTTCAGCTGGCAGTCGGCTTTCATGTAAAAGCTACCCTAGTGGCCAATAAGCTGCTGAATGGTTTTTACAAGCAGCAGGAAGAGACATCCCCCTCTCTCCCGCCATCATCCACAGTTTTCTGTCCCACAGGAGAATCCGAGAAGGCAGCTGGCAGTTCCTCTGGCTGACTATAGAGCTGTTCAGAGACCAGAATGGCTCCAATCATCTCTATAGTCTGGCTCCAATCATCTCTATAGTCTAAGACCGGATGCTATGAGCATTTCATAATTTCCTTTTTGCCAGACTTTAACAGCGCCATTTTTAAATTGGGAAAGCATCTGATCACACTGATCTTGGTGAGATCAGATGATATAAGGGCAGAGGAGAGATCTAGAGTCTAATAGACCCCAGATTTCTCAAAAAAGAATACCCATCAATGCCTATTGCAGTCACGGGGGAGATTTACATCCCCTGTGATAGCAATATTAGTGCTAAAAAAAAAAAAAAAGTAAAAAAAGATAGGGACAGTGTAAAAATTATAATAAAAAAAGCACCCTCGCTCTACCACTCGCACACTTGTGCGCGCAAGTGGTGAACCCGTGCCAGTATGTAAACAGCGGATGCACCATGCACGTGAGGTATTGCCGCGATTCTAGCACTAGACCTCCTGTGTAAAATATAAACTGATGACCTGTAAAGGCTTTTAAAACATCGCCTATCGATATTCAAAATGTATGTACTTTGTCGCCATTGCACGGGCATGCGCAATTTTAAAGCATTTCATGTTTGGCATCTATTTATTCGTAGTAACATCATCTTTTGTAAGTTATCAAATTGGGCAATATATTGTGTTTTTGTGCATTAAAATTCTAAAGAGTGTATTTTTCCCAAAAGATTTACATTTGAAAAATCGCAGCGCAAAATAGTGTGTGGCAAAAACATTTTTTCAACACTAACCAATTTATTCTTTAGGGTCTCTGCTTTAAAAAAAAATATATAATGTTTGGGGGTTCAAAGTAATTTTCTAGCAAAAACCAAACCTTTTCACGTGAACAAAAAGTGTTAGAAAAGGCTTGGACTTAAAGAGTGGGTGATGTGTGGCATAAGCTTCTAATGTTGACCCTGAAATGCCAGGATAGTAGAAGCTCCCCTTCCCCCTCCAAATGACCCCTTTTTGGAAAGTAGACACTCCAAGATATTTGCCAAGAGGCATAGTGAGTATTTTGCAGATCTCATTTGTTGCCATGTTTTTTGGAAAAAACAAAAAAAGTATTTTTCTTTTTCAAACCCATGTAACAAAAATTATATCTGTAAAATACTCATTATGCCTCTTATCAAATTCTTTGGGGTGTCTACTTTCCAAAAAGGGGACATTTCTACTATCCTGGCATTTTAGGACCTCCAAAACTGAGATAAGTAGTGGGGAATTGATATGAAGAAATATGCCCTTTGAAAGCCTGGAGGTGGTCATTGGATTTTGGGGGATGCCAAAACGTTTCTCACATGTGGTGTCCCCATACTCTGGAGAAGTAGGAGAGTGTGTTTTGAGGTGTTATTCTACATATACCCATGGCATGCATGAGTAATATATTGTTTAAGTGACAACTTTGTGTAAGGGGGAAAAAAAAAAAAAGTAATTTTTGAAAAATTTGTGGCAAAAAATAAAATGTTCCATGGACTCAACACGCCACTCTGCAGAATCCTTGGGGTGTCTACTTTCCAAAAAGGGGTCATTTGGATGGGGGGGGGGGGGGTTGTACTGCCCTGGCATTTTAGCACCTCAAGAAATGTGATAGGCACTCAAATGTAAAAGCTGTGGAAATTCCAAATATGTATATATATATATATATATATATATATATATATATATATATAACACATATATACATACACACACACACACACACACCATAGTTTGTAGACAATATAAGTTTCACAAAAACCAATTAATATAGATGTATTGGGATTTTTTTTTTTACCAAAGACATGTAGCAGAATACATTTTGCCCTAAACTTATGACTAAGTTTATTGGATTTTTTTTTTTATTTTCAGTTATTTTTTTAGGAGCACAAAAAGTAAAAACTGCAGAGGTGATCAAATACCATCAAAAGAAAGCTCTATTTGTGTGAAAAAAGGGACATACATGTCATTTTGGTACAGCATTGCATGACTGCTCAATTACCAGTTGAAATAGCGCAGTGCTGAACAGCAAAAAATGGCCTGGTCATGAACGGAGGGAAATCTTCTGGAGGGCAAGTGGTTAAATGCAAAAGTGGAAGAAAAGCAGATCAGTGAAAAAGCAACCCAAGGCAGCTCTAGAGGACACCCTCCACCCATTCCTGTCCTTGGAGTAGTCCCCTGTACTTGGACTAGTACTTCTACCACCTTGGAGTGGGCCCCTGTGCTCGGAGTACTACTACCACCTTGGAGTGGGCCCCTGTGCTCGGAGTACTACTACCACCTTGGAGTTGGCCCCTGTGCTCGGAGTACTACTACCGCCCTGGAGTGGGCCCCTCCTTGGACTGGTACTTCTACCTTGGAGTAGTCCCCTGTGCTCGGAGTATTACTACCACCTTGGAGTAGGCCCCTGTCCTTGGACTTGTACTTCTACCTTGGCGTAGTCCCGTGCTCGGAGTATTACTGCCACCTTGGAGTAGGCCCCTGTCCTTGGACTGGTACTTCTACCTTGGCGTAGTCCCGTGCTCGGAGTATTACTGCCACCTTGGAGTAGGCCCCTGTCCTTGGACTGGTACTTCTACCTTGGCGTAGTCCCCTGTGCTCGGAGTATTACTACCACCTTGGAGTAGGCCCCTGTCCTTGGAGTGGTACTTCTACCTTGGCATAGTCCCCTGTGCTCAGGTTGGTTACCTTGGTCCGCCCCGGTTAGTACCAGATAGCCCTACCCGACGCGCCATCACTGTCCACCTAGCTATGGGCAGCATGCGGACGTGCGCAAACCAGGTAATCGCCTTTCCCGGAAGGGGAGTGATCAGGAACTGGCACGCGTGAACCTTTGTAGAGCTCGGATCCTCAGGTGCTCGTACGGCACAAACTCGGGTCTCTCGTGACTGTGATGCTGGGTCTTCAGATAAGCGTTCAGCATGCAGACGGCCACACCGGGCAGAGCTACCACGTAGGTGAGGATCTTCCATGTCCGGCCTGTGAGGAGACAGAGGACATGAGAGCCTCATACACACTGCTACCGGAGTGACCTTCAGCTCACCCTCCGCTCTAGCCGGGGAAGGTGAGCCGGGTCACCGGCATCTCTACCCCCCGAACACCTACTTGAATCTCCGTGCTCAGCCGCTGCAGAATACAAGCGGCCCCGGTTAACCAGGGAGCGCCCAAGAACACCAGATAGCCTCCCGAACGCCGCCATCATGTCCTAGCTATGGGCAGCTGCGGACGTGCGCAAACCAGGTAATCGCTTTCCCGGAAGGGGAGTGATCAGTCAGTCACTGCGCACGCGTGAACTTTGTGAGCTCGGACCCCCCTCCCCTTCATAAATTCATGCGCATGCTCCGAACAACAACGTGCTCTCGTCTCTGCCCTCGTCTTTCATTGTTGCTGAAGAAAAAGAGTGTTGCATAGTTGTGACGGATTTTTTTTTCTTTAAGTGTACAACTGTTATCCAGCTTCGTCCTAGAGCAGGGGTCTCCAAACTGTGGCCCGCGGGCCGGATGTTGCCCTTTGCTTTCCTTTTATACGGGCACTCCACTGATACGAGGCACAATCCCTTCCACTGACACCAAAGACGGGGCACTATCCCTTCCACTGACTCCAAAGACAGGTCACTATTCCTCCCACACTGCCACTAATGATGGGGCACTATTCCTCCCACTGACACAAATGATGGGGCACTATCCCTTCCACTGACACCAATGATGGGGCACTATCCCTTCCACTGACACCAATGATGGGGCACTATCCCTTCCACTGACACCAATGATGGGGCACTATTCCTTCCACTGACACCAATGATGGGGCACTATTCCTCCCACACTGCCACTAATGATGGGGCACTATCCTTTCCACTGTCACCAATGACGGGGCACTACTCCCACTGACACCAATGATGGGGCACTATTCCTTCCACTGACACCAATGATGGGGCACTATTCCTCCCACTGACACCAATGATGGGGCACTATGCCTCCCCCTGACACCAATGATGGGGTACTATTCCTCCCCCTGACACCAACGATGGGGCACTATTCCTTCCACTGACACCAACGATGGGGCACTATTCCTCCCCCTGACACCAACGATGGGGCACTATTCCTTCCACTGACACCAACGATGGGGCACTATTCCTCCCACTGATACCAACGATGGGGCACTATTCCTCCCCCTGACACCAACGATGGGGCACTATTCCTCCCCCTGACACCAACGATGGGGCACTATTCCTCCCATTGACACCAACGATGGGGCACTATTCCTCCCCCACTGACACCAACGATGGGGCACTATTCCTCCCACTGACACCAACGATGGGGCACTATTCCTCCCACTGACACCAACGATGAGGCACTATTACTCCCACCGACACCAACGATGGGGCACTATTCCTCCCACTGATACCAATGATGGGGCACTATTCCCCCTACTGATACCAATGACGGGGCACTATTCCTCCCACTGACACCAATGATGGGGCACTATTCCTCCCACTGATACCACTGATGGGGCACTATTCCCCCCACTGATACCAATGATGGGGCACTATTCCTCCCACTGACACCAACGATGGGGCACTATTCCTCCCACTGATACCAATGATGGGGCACTATTCCTCCCACTGACACCAATGATGGGGCACTATTCCTCCCACTGACACCAATTATGACATTTTTTTTACTCCCATTTAGTAAACACACCCATGGCATTTTCTACTCCCACTGACCACAGTCTGGCCCCCGTAAAGACTGAAGGGCAGTAATCTGGCCCTTAGTTTCAATAGTTTGGAGACCCTTGGCTTAGAGTATGTGTAAGATAAAGGTCATATATGTTAAAAACTTTTACTGCTTTGTACAGAAAAGAATGTAATTAACCACTTGCCCTCCAGAGGATTTACCCCCCTTCCTGACCAGGCCATTTTTTGCGATATGGCACTGCGTTACTTTAACTGACAATTGCGCAGTCATGCAACGCTGCACCAAAATGAAATTTCCGTCCTTTTTTCCCACAAATAGAGCTTTCGTTTGGTGGTATTTGATCGCCTGTGCGGTTTTTATTTTTTGCACTATAAAAAAAAAATGAAATAACTCAAATCTCGTCATAAATTGAGGCCAAAATGTATTCTGCTACATGTCTTTGCTAAAGAAATCCCAATACGTGTAAATTAATTGGTTTACGTGAAAGTTATAGCGTTTATAAATGGCGGTATATATACTGGGTTTTTTTTTTTTTTTACTAGTAATGGCAGCGATCAGTGACTTATAGTGGAACTGCAGGACTGCGGTGGGCATTCTGACACTGGGGGGAACTGACTTGGTGTCACTGACATCCCCAGTGACACCAATACACTGATCAGTGCTAATAAAAAGCACTGACACTGTACTAATGGCACTGGGCAGGAAGGGGTTAACATGAGGGACGATCAAAGGGTTAACTGTGTGCTGTGTGTTTTACATTGTGTCCTGTGTTAGTGCTTCACTGTAAGTACACTGTTTTGTATGTCTCTGCTATGCACAGCCATACAAAGCAGTGTGCAGGAACTGACGGAGAGAACTGTATTGTTTACAAACACACTGTAACCACACTGTTTTGTACGGCTTTGCTATGCACAGCCATGCAAAGCAGTGTGCAGGAACTGACGGAGAGAACTGTATTGTTCACAAACAGTTCTCCCCCCGTCGGATGCTAAGTAATCACCGGGCGCTAGCGAGTAATCACCGGGCGGGACCCGGTGATTGACAGCTGAGGCCGTGAATGGTGGTGTGGGTAGGGTTCGTGCGTGTCCCCTACCTGGAACTGCAAAATCACGTGTATATGTGTGATTTTGTGCACCCATGCCGCCCTGTTGCAGTACTTCTGCTATAGTGCGGACAGAAAGCGGTAAAGTGGTAGTAAACCACTGCTTTTCATTTTTTTTAAATCCCCTTTAACCCTCTCACTGCCAGAGCCATTTTTGCATTGTTTTGCACATATATTAACCTCCCTGGCGGTATTCCCGAGTGTAGCTCGGAGTAAAGTTTCAGTACCACAAGCGGTAACCCCGAGCTACACTCGGGCTTACCATGCGGCTCTGCTCCGGGATCCCTCGATCACTTACCTTGTCCTGCGCTCCCGCGATGTCCCCCCTGCAGTGTCCCCGGCAATGTAATCCGACGGATGCCGGCATCTGTCATCTGGGTTCCATCCCCTGCGAGCGTCGGGACGTACGGGGGACGAAATGGTGGGAAATTTGAAAATAACAAAAAGTGACATTCACTAAATACACTAAAATCACATAGTAAAACATTACTGTATCAAAACCATTTCACATACATTTTGTCCCGAGTGCTTTGCCCTGTGCCCTGCCTGCATATATACTGTTCTTTCTGCCTGGAAACTGAAAAAGTCCATGGCGTCCAAAAAGCGTCCCTTTAGGTCAAAAGCGGTTTCAGACCAGCTAGAGAACAGCGATAGTAAATCAGAACCACTTGCAGAATTGAGTGATAATGATTCGTGGGGAAATTCGTCATCAGACACTAAAAACAATTTTTGTGACTTTGCTCAGTGATGTGCGAATTTGGCGCTATATTTAAAATTTCCGTGTTTTTGGTTTGATTATATTATTGAATTAAATGTATTATTATATTATTATTTTTTATGATTATTTATTAAATTATAATTTATGATTTCGTGTTTCAAGTTTTATCATACCCGGGATGTTTACTAGACTCTTGTTCGGACAGATTTCAGTGAGTTATTCCTAAAAATTACAGGCCTACAATAAAAAAATACATATTTCCATGCAATAAAATGTAACGCTTTGAGCACAGAAATATGGACATAATCAGATCTCTAGGGAGGTTAAAAATAATTTTAGGACCGAAGATTACACAAAACCCTCAAAATATTATATATTTTCTGAAAGCAGATACCCTAGAGCAGGGGTGGCCAACCTGCGGCTCTCCAGCTGCTGCAGGACTACAAGTTCCATCATGCCTCTGCAAGTCAGTAACTTCCCATCTTTGCAATGCCTCATGGGAAATGTAGTTCCACAACAGCTGGAGAGCCACAGGTTAGCTACCCCTGCCCTAGAGAATAGAATAGTAGAAGTTTCAATTTTTATGTCACATATTATTGCAAAGGTCTAAGAAGTACAAAATTTCAGTAAAAATCACATGTAAATTTAAGGGCAAACAGACGCAATAAATTACCCAAATTTTTGGTAAAATATAAAAGATGAGGTTGCACCGAGGAAATAGATACCCAACATGCCAAACCTATAATTTTGTGTGCCTATGAATTTGCGTCAAACTTCAGTACCCTATATTTTCTATAGGTAACGCTTCAAAAGCCCTTATAAGTCATCGATGTATCGTTACGAAGGAGGTCTGGTGCTAGAATTATTCTCTCACTCTGGTGTATGTGACGATATGTAACGTGTATCGCAACCGGCATTTTCAAATGTAGGCTGCTCCAACGTGTGCGTTTACGATTGTACATGCGTATATGTGGGGGTGGGCTAAAAAATTTTGTTGTTGGGGGGGATGTTATGTGCCTGGGTGTAACTTTTTTTTGGGGGGGGGTGTAAATAGTTTTTTTTTTACTTAACTTTTTTTTTTCATCACATAGAAGGCACATGTTATAATTTTTTTGGTGACAGGTTTTCTTTATTGAGACCCTGCATGTCTCCTATGGGCTCAATTAGATGTATTGCAATACAAGCCACATTGCAGTACATCTTTCCCCCAGCTATTCTAGCCATAAAAATGACAGCCATGACCTGGAAGTGACGCCATGAACGTCGCCTTCCAGGTCACACAAAGAAGGGGAGGGGAGCGGATCGCTTTCCTCTCTTCCCTCCCTGCTGGCACCTGCCATGGCTCTCCCCTGGCACGCGCAGATGGGCAAGTGGAGCCCGGTTACATGGCGGGAGCGTGCCTGTGGGGTGGGGACGCACTGGGGCTGTGGAAGCACTCGGCGACCGCTTCCACCTGACAGGCAGGAGTCTGTCTGTCAGTTTTATACACAATCTTGGTGGCTGCAGCCACTGGATTGTGTATAAACCCCCTGCTGTCAGGTCCATACAGTATATGGACCTGACATTGAAAGGGTTAAGGTATTGGCATAATGTGCTAGTATGCATCATATACTAGCACATTATGAAATACTTACCTTAGAACGGCTGACAGGGCTTCCCCCAGTCTTCCTTCCAAGTTCACTGGCTCCAGTCCTTTGAATGGCCAAGCCTTAATGATTAGCTGCAGTGGAGGGCAGGGTTGTGTGACAGACCCAACTAGGACAGGGTCTTTTGGAGGGGACCAGAGGCGAACTGACCATTTGGGCACTCAGGTACTGCCCAAGGGCCCAGGGTCAGTAGGGGGCCCCATGAGATGCCCCTGGTACCTTTCATAAGGTTTTTTTGGGTGTGGTTTGAGTGTGGGCAAGGGCACAGGGGCCCCATGATCCCTTTTTACCTGGGGGCCCCATGAGTTGTCAGTCCCCCCCTGGAGGGGACTGTGGGTTTTGGGGAGACATGGACTTGAATCCAAAGTAAAACAGCTCCCAAAGGTTCCCCAGGAACACACCTCCCACAGAATAGATCCCTCTCAGATGCCAGGGCTCATGGTCAGTAGGCAAGAGGCTAGCCTGCAGTCCCCTTCCTGTCCCAGTTGGGTCTGTCACTGGCAGACATTGGGGGTCTAATAGACCTCCAGTGTCTCCATAAAGAGGACCTGTCATCTGCTCAATACTATCACATAAGGGGCCTTCTAAGGCCCCATTCACACCTGGGCATTTGTAATCAATTGCCACAATTATGCCCGTGATCCCAAAACGCTCTGCAAAACTGAAAAAAACAAAATCGCACCACGCTTTTAAAAAACATAAAAAAATGTGAAAAATTTTTTAAAAAAACATAATAGTAATAACAAAAAAAAATTTGCAACCCCACTGCCCTGCACACAGATGCAAATCTAAATGTGCACCATACATATCTGCAAACTTTGGAATGAGAGCAGTAATTCTAGAGCCATAATTCATGGTTAATTCTAAAGACTGTTCAAATATTGCCTATGGAGAAATGTATGTACCTTAGTTATAAGCGATATCACACAATTGGCATGGTTGGTATATATGTATATACTCGACGCAGGCCTTTCTTTTATATTTTACCAAAACATTGGGTATTTTATTGTGTTAGATTGCACTAAAATTAATGTTAGTGTATTTTATCCTGCATATATACACTGGATAAACAGCTGCAAATATTGTGCGATATAACAAAATGCAACAACCATCGTTTTATTAATTCTATAGTTTCTAGAGGAGTTTTTTAGCTGTAAAAACGCTCTAACGCTGAAAAACACAGCAAACGTGGTAAATCGTGGCAAACCAGCATTTTTGGAAGTTTTTTTGACCAAAAAAACCCCTATTAAACACTAAAAAATGCAAACGTGAAAACAAAGTGTGCATGGAGCCGAAAGCAACAACTTTTTTTTGACCTTCTAAAGCAGTATATTTCAACCAGAGTAAGGGGTGCCTTGGCAAAATGCCGAAAAATTGCAGACAAGCCAGCTGATCAAACCTGTCTTATAGTTACATAAAGTCATCAGCTGACCAAATATGCTCAGTGTCCAGAAGCAGGAAGGCTGACACAAGCTGATACAGGAGAAAGGCCATCCACTCTCATCCAGATCACAAGGCAGAAATATCTGTGGAGCGCAATACCAACGTATTATTTATCAGAAATAAAATTACGATTTG